TAACAACAAAGAAGATGCATTAAAATACATCGATAACGAAAATCAATGGGGTCATTATTTTACCAATTATACCAAGGACGGAAAAAAGCATACTATCGACGCAATAAAGTTAGATATCGTACTACTCAATACAGCGCACGAATTTGTTTATTTTATGATGCAAATAATGATGATGTCGTATTATTCCGATCCGATGAAATACATACACATCAAAATATTAAAACTATTTCAAAAATTTCAATCGAAATAAAAACAGAAATTAACAAATTGATCGAGTTCAAAATGAAATCAAAAGCCATATTAGAATCATTACATGGTCAGAGTATAGCAATGTACCAATGATGAGTCAACTCCGGAATTATCTTGTTAAATATAGAAAAGGAAGGTATGGACAAAGTATAATCAGTTTAGGTCAATTAGAATAATGGTGTATTGACTGCAATCTGCTTCCTGAAAATGATGATGAAGCATTTGTTACTTCTTATGAATTTATGTATGATGAGGAAGAAGACGATGATGATGTTAATAATACGATAAATGACCCTGATGAAAACAACGCAAAATTTCGTATCTTTATTTCAACCAAAAGATTACTTAAATTAGCTTTAAATGCAACAAAAATCCATGCGGATGCAACATATAGGTTAATTTGGCAAGGGTTCCCAGTGCTTATTGTTGGAACTACAGGCTTAGGTCGGCTTTTCCATCCATTTGGCATGGCAATATGTAGTAATGAAAAAACAAAAGATTTGAAGTTTATTTTTGAAAGCCTAAAAAAGGCGTTGAAAAAATAAATGAAGAACAATATAGTCCAATTATATTAATTTCAGATGCTTCAAATGCTATTAGAAATGCCTTTGAAATGATTTTTGGGAAAAGATTACTGATTATGTGCTGGGCTCACATGCGACGGAACGTAATTAGCAAAATTCAATAATTAGTAGATTCCGAATATGAAACAAATATTATCGATGATGTTGATGCTTTACAATTATCTCAAAATGAAATTATTTTTAATAAAGCTTCTGCTCTATTTATTAAAAAATGGAAGCAAAAAAGCAAATAGCTTTTGTGGAATATTTTGAAAATGAGTGGTTAAATTCACATAATACTTGGTATGAAAATATTCAACATTTTACTCCAAGCACTAACGATGGTTTAGAAAGTTTTAATAAAATCATAAAAGATGAAAATACCTATCGAGAACGTATACCATTGTCAAGATTCCGTATTATTACATTTGAAACAGTCAAACAATGGTCTAGTCAATATAAACACAAGTTAAAACAATATATTCAAACACCATCTATTACTCTTGATATATGGACAAAAGGTTATCAATGGGCTAAGTCGGACAAAAGCGTGATTTCAATGAATCATGGGTATACAGTTGAATATTATGCACCAGCTGATGATGAATTTAAAATCTCAAATAATGATATTGATACTATTAACACGATGAAATGGAACACTTTCGATCAGTATAGAAAACGTGCATTTAATGTATGGTATATCAAAATGCAAAATGATCCGACGAATTGGATGAAGGGTATTTGTAATTGCCCAGCGTTTTTTAAATGTTACGTTTGCAAGCACGTAGTTGGAGTATCTATTAGGCTAAAAT